TTTTATAAAGAATATCTCTTTGTATTTGAGACTTTAGTCTTTGCAACTTTAGAAATCTTATCTATGCACAATCAGCTTGTAACACTCCAAAGAGAAAGGAAAACTTGAAATCGCATCATATGACCCCTTTAATACGTGCTGTACAGCTGTATCTCACCTCTCTCTTCTTCTGTTCAAAAGCGAGCAGGCGGCCTGTTTGGAAACCATGTGGATCGGTTCACGATGGAGAGAGGAACCCCGATGGCCACCCAAGTGACCAGCCAGCGCCCCCTACAGATCGCAGACAGCAGAGCGGAGGAGACGGAGGCCTCGGCTGCATATGTTCATTACCACGCCAACACCAACACCAATAATAACACCAACACCAATAATAACACAGCCAGACAGAGGTGAGAGCGAAGAAAAAACAATAACATAAAAATAACACTCAATGTTACATTTGACGGAAGAACTTTTTTTGCAATTATGATGAAGATTAACAAAAAGAAAAGCATTTTAAGAAGGTAAATGGTATCAATTTTGAGTAATAACAAAAATAATGCTTTGGCAAATTATCACACTTGATAAAAAACGTTGTTTCTGTGCAATTATGAGGAAGTCGAAGATAAATGTGTATTAAGAAGGTAAATAACCCCATTTAACCTTCTTAATTTTTGATTTTATTTAGATTTGAGGTTGATTATAAATTAAAAACAACATAAAAATATCACGTTTGCAAGTTATTATATTTAATGAAGCAATTTTTCTCTCTTATATTTGATTAAGACTCTTATATGTGATTAAATAATTTGTTTATTTGCAATTATGAAGACGACAAAGATAAATTTGAAAGGTATTTTAAAGGTAAACGGAGTAAATGAGAAACAATGTAAAAATAATAGACTTTTAGCAAAAGTTTTTTATAGCATTTTATAAACAAATTTGTTTCTTCGCAATTATGACATAAAATATGTGTATTCAGGTTGATTTTAAATTAAAAATAACAAAATAATGCTTTAGCAAGAATTTATTTGTTTGCAGTGACGACGACGAAGATAACGGTGTATTAAGAATTATTCTTTTATTTGCATGAATAAGGTTGATTTTAAATTAAAAACAACAAAAATACCACTTTTGCAAGTTATTACATTTAACAAAATAACTTTTTTCTTTGTAATCATGAGGAAGATGAAGATAAATATGTGTTTAGAAGGTAAATAGGGTTCATTTTGATTTCAGGCTGATTTTAACGTAACGTGACTTTAACGAAATATAATTTTAGCAAGTTTTTACACAATAAAAGATGTTGTTTCTTTGCAATTATGACAAAGATAAATGTGTATTAAGAAGGTAAATAGGCGCCATTTTTTTATTTAAATGAGAAATAACAAAAATAACGCCTTAACTAGTTATTACGTTTGCTGAAAGAATTTGTTTCTTTGCAATCATGATGAAGTCAAAGACAAATGCGTATTAAGAAGATAAAGGTTTTAAATGAGAAATAATGTAAAAAATAACATCATTAAATACTACAATCAATCAAAACTGCTCTCCGCAGCTTTAAAATCAACTCAAAAATTGCATTCGTAACGCATTTTACGCGTCGTAACGTCATTTTTCAACTGGATATTAAATGGGAAAAAAATGTAGGGTGGGACGTGATGCTATCCATTAGAAATAGACTGGAAGGTGAAAAGTGATGATAATGCGTATCCTCTCATCTTCCAGCAGACGTGAACTCCGTTTCCCATCATGCATCAGTGCATCCAGACAGCACGGTCCAGTGAGTGCAGCGGAGTTCCTCATCCAGGAGGCTCTGACCGCCGGAGGTTTGGAGAGTCTTGCCAGCGACTGGCGTTTCGTGTCCGTGACGAAGGCAGAGATGGCCGAGGCCCTTCACGTGGATCTCGCCGTGCTGGAGCGGAAATCAGCAGCCGTTCTTAACAAACGTAAAGGACAGTGTGTGTCCAGGAAGAGGGAGACGCCTGTGTCTCGTCCAGATAATACACACTGCCAGGTGTAACCATCATCAGAGGCGTCTGGTAGAGCGGAGTTAATAGGGCTGGGTAAAAATCTCATGTAATCGCTCAATCAGTGTTTCAGCCGCGCAAAGACGTCAATATAACGGCTTGTAAACAATCTCACGTAACGTCACATTTACCTCAGAAAAACATATTCGGTGACCATAAACTCATTAGTCAGCTAGAAAAATAAACTGTAATAATCTAAATAGCCACCATATAACATATTCATTATAATTTTACTGTTCTTCAATGTTTAATGTTTGAATAAATCAAGTTTTTATGACAGCCACCATTATGTTTATATTTAAAAAAAAGAACTGAAGTAGAAATATTATTATGTAATTGTAACTTTATTATTTTAAAAACTACATTAAGTGAAATTTTAACAAATCAGTCAATTTTAACCTTCAATATTATAGTAATGTAGTACCAACTGACTCGTGTATATTTTACAGCATTAGTTGAGAGATTATTTTTCTTTGAAAATTAGGCATGTACTGTACCTGATATGTATCCAAATTAACTGATATTGAATTGAATCGAATCGAATCACAAGCTTGTGAATGAGAATCGAATCGAATCATGAAATTTGTGTCAAAACCCAGCCCTAGTAATTAAGGCCAAGCCAGAGAGAAGACATTAACGGGTCATCATCGGGACTCTGATATAACTGTGAGGACTGTTTCATGAGCCAGAACTGCAGAAGATTTTTTTTTTTAAATCATCCAAAATAAATAAATAATAATACTAATGATAAGTGAAAGGACTGCTAATGGGTTGGAAATATATATATATATATATATATGGGAGTGCGGGGCACAAAGTAACGCGGGGTTAGTTGTAACACGCGTGGTTTGAATATTTCCAGACATGCTAGCATAACAAAATTTACAGTATTTATTAGTTACCATATCAACACTATATAGAGAAAAAAAGTGCGCCAAAATTAAAAAATCTTTTGAAGATATCGCTGAACAACATTTTACCATAGTAAAATTAAAATTCTGGTTTAAGTAAATTTTTCGTCTCCGTTTTTATTATTCATTTAAAATGAGACAAATCTGCTATTATTTTAATCTCCAATCTGTTATTTATCAGTTTAGATCGTTTTTTAATGCTTTGATAACTAGCAGAAGACACTAATTCCAGTTGCGCAGATGGGAAACGTTGTAACACTGTGTTACAATGTGCCCCGCTATTATTAAACTATGCTATTCTGTGACATTAGTGATGTAATTCACACTATTTAATGAATTTTAATGAGAAACGATGAGAAACGGGTGAATAAAGACTGAACGTCAATGTTTAATGTTCAGAAATTATTATTTCAAGACATGTAAAGCATTTTTGCGCATTTTTCTGGGCCGTCCCAAACATGGTTGCAATGCGTTCATTGTCAAACTCCAAAATCACATTATTTTTAATTCTAAAAAACGGCATTATTTTATTTTTATTTTTTTTATTTTATTGACAAAATATTTTAGTTTGTCTTGTATATTTTTTCATGCAATCAGATAACATTTTAAGCTGTCATATGTTACAACGTGCCCCTCAGATGTTACGATGTACCCCACCTACGGGGCATGTTGTCACATTTCACCAATTTTTGAGCGTAAATAAAGAAAACGTATACACTGTAATTATGAAACAAAGTGACATATTTGTACTAAACAAGCGTGAAATTACTGCGGATAAAAAAATTATATTCTGAACCCCATGTGGATTTACGCAAACTGAGAAAGTCAAAAAGTGTTACGTTGTGCCCCGCTCTCCCCTATATATATATACATATACATAATAATAAATCAAATATAGCCTACACTTAATTTATAACATATTTTCCAACAAAACACTTCTGAAAAGTGACTCTTCTAAGGTGATTTTGCAATGCTTTGGATTTAAAACTGTGATTAAACTTGATGTGAATATAGCCTACTATAGCATTTCTCGACATTATGACATGAACTGAACATAGTTTAATACAAAACGGTCAACTTACCTGTTTGCCATGGCGTGTATTTACTTATTATTAAAGATTAAGTTATTTTAACAGTTTGTGTTGTCTTAATATCATTTTCAAGACAACCGTCTCGCGGCAAGTTATATTTCGCGTCGCGAAAGGACAAATAAATGCAGCTTAAACGATACGAACACAAAGAGACTAGCACTTGCGTGTAGCCTAAGCGTTTATATGTCTTCGTGACCCACTTTTAAACGAACCCGTCAACTTTGACTCGTTTTAACCGCTGTTGTACGTTAGCCCTCAGAGATCAGATCAGCTCAGCGCGCGCTTCCCGCCCTGCGCGTCACGTGATTAACGTCGGATTAACCGTCGGTTAATCCGCGCGCAGCAGCCGCTGTCTCGCGTCTCCGGTGTCTTCGTGCGGGAGGATCCTCAGTGTTTTGAACGCAGACTCTCCGGTGAGTAACTAACAACTATTATATAGGTTAATGAAAATAGAAATGTATATATATATATAAAAGTTTAACCCTTACGAAAATTAACCATGGTTTCCCTGCTGAAAAAAAACAAAACAATAGAACCATCACAGAAAATTCTAATGGTTTCCACTACAAATACCATTACAAACCAACTTTTAACCATTAAAACTATTTAAAAAATGGTTTAATGTAGTGTATTTTGGGACATATTTCATTAGGATTTATTGGTTTTAACAAGCCACCAATAGAAGGTGACCAATGACCACAGGGTCCATTACAGTTTCCATTAAAACCAAAACAAGTCCCATTATAACCAGTAAACCCATTACACATTTTGTGATGGTGTCTATTGTTTTGGTTTTTTCAGCAGGGTTTACTATAAATAAAACCAAAAAATCATGGTTACTATAGTTAAACCTTGGTACCACAAATTAACCATGGTCTTGCTACACTAACCACAGTTTAACCACGGTATTTGTAGTAAAAGCTTCATAAAGCATCTGCTGTGTACAAACATCTGAAAGATGTCCGTGTACGATGTCAGTTTTACGTACATTATAAATCATAAACATCTTCTAAACGCCTATTTGACATCTGATGGGAGACGTCCTATAGACATATATATGAACAAACGCTCTAAAAAATACGTCTTGCAGACGTCAAATAGACGTTTCCGTGATGTACATGTGCTATCAGGGACTTTATATTATTTATAATTTATCACTGGTTATCTGCATAAATTAAATAAGTCTGTTCATTCCCTTGCACCACACTAAAAAAAACTTAAGTGGTAAAGTATATTGTTAGTACCATGATTACTATGTACCAAAGTAATTTAATAAAGCACTTTAGAATTCAAGAATATGGTATTCGGTGCTATTAAATATAGCAAAGTACTATGGTATTAAATAAGATGCTATTATTGTACTATGGTGTCAAGCTGGTTGGCAGTTTGATTAAGTTTAATTAAAAACAAACATATTTAACAGCGTATTTTCATCTTCTAAAAACACATCTATACTTGACCCTCTACTAGCACTCTCTATTCTATCTACTTGTTTTCTTTTTATTTAGCCTATTATAAAAAAAACAACGTTGCTGTGTGTACTGCCTTATGCTAACTTATCACGGCACTTACATATTATTGCTCTTTTGTTGGTTTTGATTGCGTCTGTTGTCTTCGTTTATAAGTCGCTTAGGATAAAATTGTCTGCTAAATGACTAAATGTAAATGTAATGTTCATGCAAACAAAAAGTGCTGCTAAGTTGCGTGTTGGTTTTTCGACATAAAACTCATGATTTCATTTGTGTGCATGAGTACTTGAACATTTCCAACACATTTTACCAATACCGTGATAATATTGATGACCATGATCATTTGTTTACTTGTCTTTAAATAACATCATTTATTCATTAGCCTATTATTTAAATGGGTCACATTTGCTGTGCATAAACATGTTTGTAGCAGGTTTGGAAAGGGTTACCGGGTGTCTGTGGGGTTAAGCTGGACCCATGAGTCAGTCAGACAGAGCTTAAGGAGTTTAAAATATTATGTTGTTCACCATATGGACTGTCTTACCGGTCTGCAGGCGTCCAGAAGATCATGACGGAGGAGCACGCGACAGGTGGTGCATGCCTGTCCCAATCAGGTACACCCAAAAACACCACTTCCAGAACTGAAAAACTGATTTCTACAATCTCAAAAAGCGATTTAACGTCTCAATTTACAGCCTGCAGGGTGACTGCTGGAGCAGGGGGCGGGGCTGATGTCACAAAGGAGGCGTGGCCTGCACAGCCACGCCCTTTGTCACATGACCGGGTCACACTAGTAGTGGACGGGACTCATTTTGTGGTGGATCCGGCGGTATTCACAGCTTACCCGGATACAGTGCTTGGGAGGTACTGAACACAATCATTTAAAGAAATAGTTCAGACAAAAAAGAACATTCGCGAGATCAGGATGAGTTTGTTTCTTCATCAGATCTGGAGAAATGTAGCATTGCATCAGTGTCTCACTGCAAGTGAATGGGTGCCGTCAGAATGAGAGTCCAAACAGCTGATAAAAACATCACAATAATCCACAAGTAATCCACAGCACTCCAGTCCATCAGTTAACATCTGGAGAAGACAAAAGCTTTAAAGTTTACAGCCGTTTCAGCTTGTAAACGGTGCTTGATCTGTGCATATTTCTCTCCTGATTCAGACAAGACGCCTTTTTAACTAGGAGAAACCAATATTATGGCTAGGAGGACTTTTATTTTTGCCAGAAAGATGGATTTGTTTCTTACAAATATACAGCTTTTTGCTTCAAGATGTTAACTGATGGACTGGAGTGGTGTGGATTACTTGTGGATTATTGTGATGTTTTTATCAGCTGTTTGGACTCTCATTCTGACGGCACCCATTCACTGCAGAGCA